GGCGGCATCTCGGGCATCTTCAAGTCTCACGACTACCGGAAAGGTACAGTGGGGAGGCCGTGGTGGAGTGGCCCGGCGCACGAGCGGCCACAGAAGCAGCTCCCAGCTCCTGCAGGAGGCTCTGGCTCACCCCCCCTCATAACTTGGGAACTGACTTCTGACACTGGAAGCCTCCCTTGGCTTTACATGTGGATTTCTGTGGCTTTCTGGAGGTGGGCGGTACTATGGTAGCTGCCTGCTGACCATGTTAGGAAGCAAACGCTCCCTTTGAGTGTTATGGTTGGGACAGTCTTGATTCTTCCTTGGCAGGGCCCTTTTAGCATCTAATGTAAGACTTCTTGGTTTTTCTTGTGTAAAACAGGCAATTTATAAGTGGGATATCATACAAATGTGCTGTCCTGAGCTGAGGCTTAGTGTCAGATTGTTTCCTCCAGATATGTGTATGTGCATTCAAGAGCCCTCCCTTGAAGGGTCTCCCTGGGTGGTCAGAGATCCGATCACAAATGTTAGGTGCTGTCAGCAAATGGTAGAAGATAATTAGTCTTTCTGATCCCCTTGACACATGGGATAACGGTTTCTTATTTGTAATTACTGTACTGTGAATGCTGTCTTTCATAAGATACTGCTTCAGAGAAGCTTTGCAGGTGGCTTTCATGCTGCAAAGTAATAAACTACTCTTCTGAGACAGTTGATGATTCTGTTTAATATATTAATGCTAATTAAATGTCATTGTCGAGCAGACAGCTTGCTTACCTGAATATCGCTCATGGGATATTAGGCTCTTTCGTAATAGTGCTAGCTACTAAAAATGTAATCCTGCTGTTCATCCTTCAGACTATGTTGGAGCTCTGCCGGATACTTATTTTTCTTGTAGACTAGATTCCCCTTGGTAAGGGAACATTTTTGCCTTTCCAGAGTCTGCGGTACCTGGGACAGTACCAGACGTGACACTCTAAGCTGCTGCTGAATCTGGCAAGCTGTGCTTTCATAGTTGGTTCTTGAAGAAACACATGAAATCATAGCATCAGTGGCCTGAGTCTGGGAGTCAGATCTGATGCAGTGCCTCATGACCTTTTTAGCTTACACCTCTTTTCAATAAACTCTTGTGACCTATGTTCTGCCTATTGACCCCTCCTATAGAGAGGTGCACTGTCCCTTCTCTAAGGTAATGCCAGTCTTTTTCTTGTTCATCATATGTTCTTTGGCTGTGCCAGTATCATGGGATGTGTGGCCATGGGAACTGGCTCAAGTAATAGCTATCTATGTCGCGTGGCTATGCAGTGAACAGCTCTCCACATACGCGATGGCATGTGGCTATGCTGGCGTAACTGTGAAGGTAAGGGCTGTGGTGAAGTAATGGGAGGTGTTATCTCACCTGAGTGGTACAAAGCCTCATTCAGGAATAAAGCACTCGAGTCTTTCTACTGAAGTTACTTGTTTCAGACAGTTCCTGGGTTTTAAGCGTTGGAGTCAAACTCCTAGCTTCCAGTTGTGGAAACAAGATTACTGTATTCTCTACATTTGGAAAAGTAAGAGAGCGACTGGAAGAAGTGTACATTGTTGTGGACACATTTTTAGAATATACTTGCTGCGTGCATGAAAGGAGTTAGCAGACTGTTGGTGTAAGCCTTCTGTAGAGGAAATGCAGCATCTCCTTCAGTGACTAGGAGCCTTGTGTTTGACGTTGCTCTAGATGTCTGTATGACCCCAAGAGGTTAGCTTGCAAACAGTGTTAGGAGGCAATTGTTGATGCAGGCAAGTATTCTTTCTTCTATGTTTCAGGCCACTTTGAGTGTCCACCTTACAACCAGCAAACAATAAGAAGTGCTTACCATGTGAGGAATATTGAAGTCTTCAAACTCAAGCAGGTTAGTGAAAATTTTAACAAAAGTAAAAAATGATTTTCATTAATTGAGAAATAGATATTAAAGCTATTCTGAACAGTATACTATTATATAGCTGAGACTCTTCTGCAACATTGTATAATGTTGACAGACCCATTTATGCTGGCTGTGATTCTGCAGTTGTTCCTGCTATGTGTCTGCTCCACTGTTTTGCTTAGCAGTACAAATCTGATTCGAATCGGGCACAGGCGGCATGTGTGCGTTTTTTTTTGTTGTTTTAACCTATTAAAAAACAAATCTCACAGTGTGGGAGGTGCTTCAGCTACATGCATTTGTTCTAGGTTTATGTTAGGTGTAGGAAGATGGGTGCTACCTTGTCTAACTTAAAGCCTGGTTGGTACAAAGTTAACTAGTCAAAATATGCAGAAGTTGAACCAGTAGAGTGAGCTGATGCCAAATTCCTGTGGTTAAAGCATTTTTGACCCAGGGCTAGCAGCCCAAAGGCCAGATTAACTTTACTATTGAGCCATGGACTACTCCCTGCTTTGTCACAAGGGATCACACTGTTTGTCCGAGATTGTGGTGTGAATGCATGCTTTTATAAGCATCTTGTGAATGATTCTTCAGGTTGCAGTTGTGCACTTACCTGTTCAGTAGATGCAAGGATAAAGGTTTGCTCTTCCTGTGAAGGATATGATGCGTTTTTCTGTGAGTTTCATACCAGCTGGACTCAGGTTTCTGCTAGAGGTGTGGTCTGATACAACTGATGAAAATATGCTGAATATTGAACCAAGATGTACTTGTTTCATTGAGACTGGTGCTTCCTTTGAGGAGGAGTATCACACACAGCCATTATCCCTTTTAAACAAAGCTCTTAAATTTTGTGGGGAAGATGACGACTTTGGTGTGGCAAGAACTTTCTCCACAGCTGTAATTTCAAGCGTTTATTCTGAGTGTCTGACACGTATAGAGATGTTCTGGTATCTCTTATAAGGCAGTATATATAAAGCACAGCTTGCTGTCTTGAGAAAGTGTAGTGCAGACTGTGGGGACTGGAGTCCTTTGATAACTTCAAAGGCCACCTGGAAGATTGTGCTTACTGGTGTAACTTCATTGCTTTAAAAAGTGAGGCTGTAAGTCACAGTTAGCTATCTGATCTGAGATAGAACACCTGCTGTTACACAAGTGGTATTTTGTGCTGTGTAAATTTGAAACTTGTTCTAAATATGTGTTTTACTTATGTGCATTTTTGGCTTGATAGTTAAAACGTCCAATGGATATATTTATGTCACATGATTGGCCAAGGAGCATATATCACTATGGGAACAAGAAACAGCTTCTTAAAATGAAATCCTTCTTCCGTCAAGAAGTGGAGAGCAACACGCTAGGAAGCCCTGCTGCTTCAGAGCTTCTGCAGCATCTGAAACCCACCTATTGGTTTTCAGCACATCTTCATGTGAAATTTGCAGCTTTCATGCAACACCAGGTAAGGAGAAAAAAATCAAGAAAGTATGTATCCCAAGTGCATTTAAGAATTCTAGTGCAGGTAGTCATGTCCAGAAAAGTAACTGTTCTTAATGTTTTCACTCAGTTATTAAAACTCAGCTGAGGTAAGCCCCAAGACATTAAGTAGTCTTAAGACTACTACCTTATGTAAGTAGAACAGATGTGTTAAATCAGTGGGGTGACTACCTAATCTTCAGAGACAGCACGAAATGGCTAACTGCTGAACTTGAAACTTCTTGATTTTTAAATTTATAGCAAAGGTACCCTTGTAAACGCTTTATTGGGAAAGGAGACAAGTTTTGAAGTAAAGTGATAGAGAAGGGCAGCAAGTGACTCAAAGGAAGACAGTGGGTTAACTGGAATGGGAGGGTGCCTGAAACAAAGCTTGGGAGATGAAGTTATCCAGGCTATTTAGATAAAACCAAAAAGCTCCCATAGGTTCAGACTTCTTTTGGTTGATTTAAGTTGTTCCTGAAAGTGGTATCACCTGCTACTCCTATTTGCAAGCTATTTATTTGCTAAAATGTAACTCTAGCCCTTCCTAACGCAACCAGTCTTTTTCTAATTATGTTAAAGCTTTTCTTTTGGCATCAAGGTTAAGTATGCTCAGCTGCCTTGGTTGAGGGAGACCTGTGGCTCTTGCTTAATCTTGTTAACGTCTACGTCCAACTTCCTCTTAGAATGCTGCTGAAGTCTTTTCCTCTTTCTCTTCATCCCTCTGTAATATCACATGATGCTTCTCTACTTCAGAAGCTCTTTTTCTGTCTAAATCATGCCTTTAATTCTCTCTGACCATTTTAATCAAGTTATACATATTTCAATAAGTATTAATGGCAGTGTTAATGCTGCTTGTTTCCTAGGCAACCTCCAAAGAAGAGCTACCAAAAGCAACAAAATTTCTTGCTCTGGATAAATGTCTGCCTCACAGAGACTTTCTGCAGGTGATGACCACGTACAGTGTGTTTTTACTTTCTAAGTGCTTCACTTGTCTGGACTGCAAAGTGTGTGCTCAGATAAAAGCTGAGGAATGGTTCTGATAAATGGGGTATTTGGAAAGCAACTAGGAATGGTGCACGTGTGGAATGGTCTTTCTATAATATTGCCTTGAACCAAGCAGGGGTGGTGTTTGCTTATTCCTACCATCTTCTTTTGCCTTAGAACGAGTAGCTGACTTAACTGGAGAAGTAGCTCAACTTTATCCTGAACTGAATCTCCTCTCAAGCTCTCTTGACAAACGTATCTAAGAAGAAATCTAAGAAGAAAGACTGTCTTGAGGCTCTTCTGCTCCTTTCCTATACCACTTAGGGTCACATAGGGATCTGGACTGACCGATTCAGATAGGGTTGAGTACTATAACTTGCTTTCAGTCCTCTGTATTCCAGCAGGAATTGATGCAACTTCCTAGAAGCATGGCCATACTTCCTTGTTTGGTGTATATCTTGGCTAGGAAGGGCAGCGGCTAGATCTAGGTTATGGGGATTTTCAACGGTAGGTGTCAAAGGGTGTGTCCTTATGGTATCTTCACTGATGAAGAACAATTCATAGGTCAATCTGTGGGGACTGAGAGACGGGTGAAATTTCACGTAGACAAGGTCAGGCTGAGACCCCTTGTGAAACACTGCACAGTTCTCTTTAAGAGACTGGATTTAAAGCTTGAGGTGGTCTAGAGGAGAGATACGTGTACAAGGGGAAGAGCCTTTCTTTTGCAAATGCCAGAAGGCCATTATTTAGGTTTTACTTATGGGAAGCATTAAGCCATCAGCATGCAAGGGGAAGGGAATCTGTACAAGTAAAGGACTAGAATGGATGGGTAAGGTAGGTTGCGAATGAGGCTTTAGCCTAGAAGTTAAGACAGAAGCTCCTAACCCGTGAGGAATAACATTTGGAAACAGTAAGATGGCAAAGTCTTTCCCACAGCCCAATTCATCAGCTCAAGTAATGCCTGTTTGGATTCAACAACCCATAAAGTCCCAGGCAGTCTAATGCTCCTGCCTCCTGAGGGTCAAATTAGTATGGATTATGGTAACCCCCAAAACATAGGTCAGGTTGTCTACAGTTTTTTGTCCAGGTATTGAAAGATCAAAACCAGCAGTGATCCAAAAATGTCTTGCTGTTGATGCCTGGCCTTTCGGATGTGCCTGTCGGGTATACTAGCTGTGCCTTTGCTTCAAGGTTAGGCTATTCTAATGTGCTCTGAAAAAGGCTATGTTAAGAACGTGAACCGAAGCTGGAACTGGCTTAGGAGACGATTTGCCAAGTGCAGAGCGGTGTTTATGTGCATGGCCTGCATGTGCTGCCTGCACCGCCATCTGTAAAGGTGCTAAAATTAACATCCTTTGCTTTAAGAGGGAGCTGCTGACGCAGCATATTCTTCAAAGGCTGTTGAGCGTTTTAGTAGTCTTCCTTTAAAGTAGCTTTTATTTATCAACTTAAAGGAAAGATGATTCATCATCTGTTTTTTGGGATGTGTGGTAGGATCCATTTGCCCTAGATGTCTTTGAAGTTGGGAGAGTCTGAAGGTAGACCTTTGCTATGAAAAGATATGCTGGGGTGCTGGTCTGCATTTAAAATCCTGTAGCGAAACTGGCCTGGAGGAATGCTACCTTTCTTCCTTCCACCAGCATGGTGATCCAACTTTGTAGCTCTGGTTTAAACTGTGTCTGGGACACTTTTAAAAACTACTTTAAAAGGTTAAATTGCTTTATGAATTTTTTAAAATCAGAGCTGACTAGCTCAGTTGTGGCTAATCTGAATAGGTTGAATTGGGTAAATGTCACTGAGGACAGTGATTTGGTTCATCAGCTGCTGAAAGAGTTTAAAATAATTTTATTTTATCCTCATTGCTATATTAAGAGCATGTGTTTACACAGTGGAATAACTGTGTTGCTACCAGTTCTTGATGTGCTGCTGCTTAAGAAAAGGGAATGAACTCATGGGTAGCAAATTGTTTTCTAAGTTGAGTAACTGTCCAGTATTTGTCAGCAGAAAGAGAAGGGTGTTCAGCTTTTTAATTGCTGTAAGCTAAAGTACAGAAGGGTTACAGAGGTTGCATTTTTTTTTTTTTTTTTTTTTACCATTGTTCCCTGTCTTTCCTTATTCCATTATTGCTATAAATTTATATGTAGAGCTGCCTTGAGAGGACTTATTTGAGACCATTAGCTCGGTATACCTCAAACTTACTTAAAACTGTACCATGAAAGTAGCACTTCAAACTTTTCTTTTGACAGAAATGATAAAATAATTCACTTCATCTGTTTTGCCTTTTTTTTTTTCCTTAAAGATAATAGACATAGAACATGATCCTAATGCAAGTGGCTCACTTGAGTATGATGCGGAGTGGATTGCAGTCCTCAAGGCTACCAACAGTCTCATTAACGTGACTCAGAGTTCCTGGAATATGCCTGAAAATAATGGCCTCCATGCAAAGTAAGTAGGAGGCAAAGTAGAGTGAAATATGCTTTTCCTGGGCTGGAATTATGCTTATCTTATTGTTATATTTGTCTGTTCTGCAGACTGTCTACAGGACTAGACAAATGCCTTGGAAAACAAAGGGGCTGGTGACAAGAGCTGTACTCTGGAGAATAAAACTTCTTTACTGCTCTGTATGGGCAGTTACATTTTTCTAAAAAAAAAAAAAAAGTGGATATGACCATTTTGCAGTGGGGAATACGTGGCTGCAGTTATTTAAAAAAATATGTGGATAATCTTGTCAGTTGCACTGTGAGCTGAAAATCTGGCTGGATTCCTAGATTAGGATAGTAAATGTTTATTGGGTATGTTGACATAATATACAAATCCTTAGAGGAGAGGGAAATGTCAGCATTAACCAAAGGTAACATATGTTCCTGAAAAAGCACTTGAGGAGTTTGGTATCTGTGGCTAGATGAATTCACTGTCATAAAAGTTTCTCTTTGCAGTAGGAACAGAAAATATTGCCTAACTGCACTTGTGGTAACTTCATACACTTATTTAGGTGGGATTACAGTGTGACAGAAGAAGCCATCAAAGAAGTGTTAGAAGAGCTGAATCATAACCTCAAAATTCCCTGCAACTTCACACTGACAGCTGCTTGTTATGATCCCAGTAAGCCCCAAAAACACATGGAACCAGTTCATACCATCAATCCACAGACCACTGAATTTTGTGCCCAGTTTGGCCTCACTGACATCAATGGCAGGATCCAGCAAGCGAAAGAAGAGGGCTCAGTACGTGGAGAATATGAAGAGGAGGAGGAGGAGGAGGAGATGGACAGTACTGGGTCAGCAGAGGAACCCAGCGAATATAATACAGATAATTCTGGGCTTTCATCCATTAACCCAGATGAAATAATGCTGGATGAAGAAGGTGGTGATGAGGACTTGAGTACATGTTCTGTAGATCCTTCCCCTGATCATCCTCCTGACTTCTCTGCAAGTTTTTCTGACATCAGGATCATGCCAGATTCCATGGTGGTATCATCTGATGATGCTATGGACTCCAATAACGAGGAACTGGAGAAATCTGGGGCAAATAAGCAGATGGAAGAGAAGAGCTTGAATGAGAGATCTTTAAAGCGCATTGGTTGTAATGAAAATGGGAACAGTGGCATGAAAAAAATTAAGAGAAGGAATCAAGCTATCTATGCTGCAGAGGATGAAGATAAAACAGAATAATTCATATGCTGTATAACTAAGTTCTCTCCCTACCCTTTTTATGGGACGATGGTGAGAGCTGCAGTGAACTTCTTATGCTTTTAACAGTATTTGATCTTAGTCATGTTACTTTAAGCTGCAATGGGCTGTAGGTACCTCTCGCAGGGAAGAATACTTAGCTGGATTAAACATCTAAGTTGGAAGCAACCTTTTCCAACGAAGTACCTTGTCAAAGGATTTAAAGCTTGTGTATAATCAGTTGATTTTGCTTCAATTCTTGGTTATTGGTGTATATTACTACTTCTGCAGTACAAGATTTACCATATTTCTTTAACAAGAGGAAAACTTTTAAACTAAGTCACGTTGAAGTGAGAGGATGTCTGACTTATGAGACTGAATGGTCTATTTTATTGCCTTTGTTTTTGTTTTACACCTAAGTTTTAATACCAAGTAGCGTAAGCAATGACTCTGAACTAAATTTGGAGGTAGACTTTTTGGGATAACAAAATGGCAGTAGAAGAAGAGTGAAGAATTCTTTTGTTTTTGTCTCTGGAACTGGTGATATTCCATATGCCATAGAAAAACTTAGGAATCATAAACAGCAGTGCATATCCAATACTGGCTTTTAATTACAGTTCTGGCAGAAAACCTAATCTCTTAATTCCAAGCATGACAGTTTTATTGGGACCATGGAAGAAATCATCTCTTAAAAATTCACTTGTGTGCCGTGTCTCAAAACTTCAGAAACATCTCTCAAAACTAAAATGTAACTAGTTAGGATGAACAGCTTCTTACATGTGAACACCATCATTGTCTCAATCCTTACTAAGTAGGGCTATGTTCCATTTTCATATAACAGGATTGATGTTTATAAATTGCTTGAGAAAGCAATGGATACCGTTAGCCTGTTTCACTTTTCTCTGGTGAATAACTTGCCTAATTCTTATAACTTGGTCTGGAGTCTCCTAAAGCATCTTCATAAACTTCAGCTGAGGAGAACAGGAGCTGCCAGGAAACTGGTCCTCTCTGAAGCAGCAAATGTTCTTTTCACTCTTCTTGTTTGCCCCAAATTATTAGCAAGCAGACTACGCTCCTTTGGGTCTAAAAGGTTGTTAAGATGATAAAACTTGCCGAATTCATGAACATGCCAATGTTTTCAATAAGTATAGCATAGAAGTAGTCATAGTCATTAGTCTTACAGCCAAGTTCTGCAGGCAGTCTGTGCTGCACTTTCTAGGAGTCTGGATAGAGCAGGCCTTCCTCATGACTGTGCTGCTAGGTCTGCTTTTGAGACAAGAAGCAACTCCCATGTGCTCTTACCCCTCTAAGGCCTAGGCACTGTGGAGAAGATAGCATCTTTATTGGAACAGGGATTTGGACAAGGAGCCACAACTGTCACGGATTAGTGAGAATGAGCTGTAGCAGGGAAACTAATAGAACCTATTAGATCATAGGTCCAGGTCAGAATCAGTTTCAGATTCTGGCGTTCATCTAGCCTCTGTTTCTCTCCTGTCAGCACTTAACTATGAAACCTAAATGCATACAAGTATTCAAGAGCTAGGAAATGCCAAAATTAAAGTTCTCCACAGTCTTGATTACCAGCTTTAGCATCCTGGGTTTTTTGTTTGTTTTTTTTCCAGGGAACACTATCTTGTGTATTAAATGATTAGCTGGGCTTTGTTAATACTGCTCTTGTATCTCTCTATACCTGCTCATCTGTCAGAACACTCACTGAAGAGTTGTAAGATGTGATTTTAAAAAAAAAAAAAAGTGGAAACTTAGTATAACCTTCAGCTTATCCCAAATAGCTGTGAACTGTCAGCTAGGTTACTGAAGATAGCTGAGGGATATCTTTAAGGGTCCTGGGTCTGTTCCTAAGATCTTAACTATACCTATGTTTTCGCGTGATCTGGGACTATCATGGAAATACTTTATTTCATCTTTCTGAGGGGGCAGAGGAAATTTTAAGCGTAAATTCTGGAAGGAGCCTGAATAGCCTCTGAAAAAATCTGAGCCTGATATTCAACTGTCTAATTCTACATGAACTGGAGTGGAAGATGTTGGTTATATTTGATAGACTTTTAGTCTGATTCCATATGATTTTTAAAGTAAATGTCTTTTCCTTTCTGATAAATGTATTTTGGCTCTCTAGAAAGCAGGAGGTTTTGCCAAGGTAGAATGCTGGTTTTTAAATCTTCAAAGATTTTATTTTTCTTTTAATGAAGTTTTTCAGCACCCACTGAGCAGGGTGCAGATGGTAAATGTACTTACCATAAAAAATGTTGGAGTACAACCTGTGTCTGATCTGTATAGAGTTGCTATGCTCTTTCTTTCAGTTGCATCCTCCTTGCAATTTAAAGTACCCATCTCTAACTGTGCTCTCATCCACTATGGATTTTCCCTGTCAGCAGGGTTCTCTGCTGCATGTAGAACTCAATTGCAGTACTGAATTTGAAGCCTCTCCAGTAAAGACGACCATAAATTCCAACAAGTATGTAGAAGAGTAGGAAAGGCTGATAATCAGTTCAATTGGCTCTTAAGATCCAGAGTCTTCATCCCTCTTTAAAAAGTTTTAAAAGTCTTTGCAATTTTTTGACTCTCTTTGATTTTAGTGAGAAATATCTGGAAAATGCTCATCTCCATGAGACTCTGGTACAGGCCATAATCACATTGTTCAGTATATGAGACTTGCCTTTAGTTTGAAAACGTTTTTACTGTTATCTATAAAGTGCTTGAGAAAAGTGGCTAACACAAGTATTTTGTTCAGAGCATGTTATATTAAATCTACGCAAAGAGCAACAAACTAAGAAAAGGGGTATAACTACTTTTTCTTGAGAAGTGGAATATTTTTCAAGTTAAAGCAAACATCAGCTGCTATTAAAGTTAACTTGTGAAAGCATCTTAAAACGTTTATTGTGCTCCCCTGTTATCCTCTGCAGAATCTCTGCTAACAGCTGGCAAACTTGGGTTTAACAGTTACCTTACAATAGCAAAAATGAAGACTTAAGTGAACCCTGACCTGGGGTGGTTTTACCTTCCTGCCCCCATTCAGTGCTGTCTTCAGGAGTAATGACGTCCCCACATCTCAAGGAACGAAATACAGGAGGACTAATACCAAAATATCAGCTCTTACGGAAAGCTACAGCCAAACTGGATAAATTCCTGCTTTTTCTTCAGATTTTCACTACAA